GGGGGGGGGGGGGGGGGGTAGATAATCGACGACGGTGATTCCGATTAAAATTAAACGACATACGATTTACGAACTAACGAAAAAGAAAATAATAATAAAAGGAATAAGGGAGTAAGAAATAAAGAGAGGGAAAAGTTAATAGTTAAAAGAAAAAGAACTTAATTCGTACTTTTAACATCGATAAAACTCTAATTTCGAGGTCTCCCTTCTTACGATTTTTCCTTCTCCTCAGTGTGTTGTTCGCCCTCTCCCTCTTTCTCATCGAGTTGCGCACTCTCTCTTTCTCTCTCTCTCTCTTTCTCGTCTTACCTTTATTTTCCGTCTTCGCGAAAGCGAGTTCGCTCTAAGTATCGGGAAATCCATCGTTAAACTCGTCACTACGGTCGCGAGATATCTCGTTTTGTATGTGTGTGTGTGTGTTTGCGTCTGTTTGTTTATGACGTGTCGTCGGCTTAAAAAAATAAATCACTCCGCTGGGTCGGTCAGAAGAGGTTCGTCATGTGGGGTAAAAAGGGGAAAAAGAAAGAACAGAGGCGCGACATAGACGGAGAGAACAAATTTGGAAGGAACGAGTCTCTCTCTCTCTCTCTCTCTCTCTCTCTCTCTCTCTCTCTCTCTCTCTCTCTCNTTCGAGAAAAGTCGCGCGGGAGCGGCACGCGTGCGCGACAATGATGATTCAGCTGGTGCTGGTCAAGCGATGCGGTAAGTAGCGTCGCAACGCCGAGTACATAAAGTTAAATCGAACATCCCGGAGGAGTGTCCGATAAGGAGGCGACTCGAAGCGCCGTTCACACCGCTGAGACACGCAGACAGCCACGTCGGCCAATGTTCTTCTCGACACGCTCGGTCGGAGACCGATAAACGCAACGTGAAGAACGTCCCCGAGACGAAACAATGAGTCTGTCTATTCGTCATAGGAGCGTCCTGCTCGATGTTGCAATTTATTAAAACGGACTCCTCGTAGTGAATGCGCGCTTCGAGTCTCCGGGGTCGCTAAAGTGAGACCAGTCGACGCGCGACAGTCTCCTCCGGTCGTCTTCGACACCTGGTCGAGCCGATTCCGCGGCGTTCCCGCAGAGAGAATCACCGAGACACCGACACGTTCACAGGGAAAAAAATTGTTGCCGCCTAGTCAGAATTTTGCTGCTATAGCTGAGACTTGAATTACTGTTGCTAGATGTACGGACGTCATACTTAATATATGCCTACTGTGGATAAACTTGCAGGTGTCCACATGTCACAACGAAGATTTAGCTAGTACATGGACAACTACAATTTTAGCTACGGAAGACATCTAAAGCGTCACTTACACACCTGATAATAGTAACTAAAGTCCTAGCTATAGCATCGAAACATTATCTAGCTGAACCTTTAGCCGTGGCAGCAGCAACACCTTCTTTCCGTCTTGTCGAATGATCGTGGCACGAGTTAGGCTCTCCTTCCCGGTAGATAACCGGGTCATCGGGAAGATTTCTACCGGGTGCACCGCGGGCTCGACTCGGCTCCGCGGCTCGCTTCCGCCGAATCGCGACGGTCCCCTAATGATCATCGGTACTTGGTGGCTCGTCTTTTCTCTTCATTTCAAGCTGATTCGCAGAGAGTGTCTAGAGACGTTCGGTTATATGCCTTCTTAGGTTTACCTTTTAACTAGTGTCTCTTTTAGCGGTTAAAGAGGGACCGGTTTCTCTATGTACACCACGAGCCGACTCGCCCCGACAACTCGCGATGCGCAGGCGGGGAGAGCATCGAGCGCGCTGACATCCGTCGCGGGTCGTGACCCTTCCGCCACAGTCACCGAGAAACGACTGACCTTGCTCTCGCAGTGTGCCCTCAGAACGTTAATAACGAGCCGGTGTGTCTCGGAACCCGTTAACATTAACATCATTTGGAAACGTTACGGATTACGCGCACACGCCGAGCACAGAGCCGTGTATGATCCTCTGTCAGGGTCGCGTTTCCGGCACGGTTGTCGAGATCGAAGCAGGCGGAACCGGTGTGTGTATATATATATATATATATACATATATATATATGTACACACTGAAACCGACTCGGCGGCAACGCCAAGGCGGAGGCTTTGCAGAAGCTTTGCACGATGGTCGCACAGTGTCTTAAGAAAACGTACACGCTACTAAACGTCGGATTACACATCCTCCTCCTCCTCCTTCTCCCTTCAACTAGAGTCGCGGTTTGGCGGTTATTAAACGTTACTAAAAGTGAGACCGGCTTGGGTACTTCCTCCTATGTACAATTCGCATGGTTGGTTAGTTAAACTCCGGCGGGAGCGAGGGCCGCGAGACCCGCAAGAGGACCCCCGTCGCAGTCGTAATCGCAATCATCACGCTCTCTCTCTCTCTCCCTCTCTCTCTCTCTCTCTCTCTCTCTCTCTCTACATGGGAAAAATGGTGAGAATCTTACAAATCTAGACGCTGTGTGTTTTCGGGACAGTGGCTGGTACGGCCACGCTCTCAGCTCGGCTAATTAATATCGCATCGAGACACTCGCATTCTTTTCGTACAAGCGCGGACATCCTCGTCAGAAGGTTTCTCCCTGGCGGGGGGTGGGGAGGTGAGGGGGTGCAGGCGGTGGTAGTCACACACCGCAGCCACCTTGAACGACTACTTACACTCTAACACTTTGATATAATAACGTTAGAAAAGAAACAGGATAATGATACGCAGGAGAGGGAGATATTTAGGGGGGAGGAGGGGAGGATTGTTGGATGGGGAAGGGGG